GTCGAGAGCTCTTCGAAGAAAGGCGAACGCTGTGGTTCCGAGAAGACATTGGGATGTTCAACTGTGAAGAAAGATGATAGCTACGGTGTTGAGGAGAAGGGCAATTCTTGTAACACGAAGGGACATGGTGCATACTCCGGTGCAAGCAAAGCTGATTGTGGCGGTGCCGAGGAGAAATGCATCCGCATTGGGACAAATGACGATAAGTGTGGCGATACCGAGAAGAAGTCTGGCTGTTACATTGCGAAAAGGGATAACTGCGGTGCCTCTGAGGACATGAACTGCTGCGGGCTCAAGGTCTCCTCCGCTGCGAAGCAAAACAGAAGCTGCTGCTTGGTTACCGAGGAAGACAATCTTTCTGGGGTTACAAGAGACAAATGCTGCGGTTCAGAGAAAATTGGATGTTCCACTGCGAAGGAAGACGGTTGCTGTGGCGACGAAACCTCTAAGATCGTACCATCCCCTCCTAAGTCTTGCTGGCCTGGAGCTGACAAACGGATTGCTGGCGTGAAAGCAATTGGCGCTTCTTGCCCCGGTTCTGGCAGTTCCAACCAGGATGGATGTTCAAAGGATGCCTGTTGTGTTGGCTCTGGCTCCTGCTCCGGAGAAGAGATTTCTTCATTTGCCAAACACGATGAAAAGGTGACAGATCATATCGACATTGAGAAGGGTTCTTTGGCCGTTGAGCACGTTGTCCTGGACGTACAGGGACTTACATGCGTTGGCTGCGAGACTAAGCTTTTCAGATCTCTACACGACATTCCTGGAGTTTGCAATCTTCGTACCAGTCTGGTGCTGTCACAAGCCGAGTTCGACCTTGACGAAAAGGCCGGTACGGTCGCCGAGGTAATTAAGGCTGTCGAAAAGAACACTGGCTTCGCCTGTCAACGACTCAACAACGAAGGACAAGAAGTTGACGTTGTTGTCGATGATGCAAAGGCTTTTGTTGAACGCAAATATCCGGACGGGGTCACTCAAATGATTGCTGCCGACAAGCACATCGTACGCATTAAATACGACGCCAAAATCATTGGAGCAAGAACGCTTCTAGAGAAGAGTTTTACTTTGACACTCGCCGATCCTCGAGGGTCCTCGGAACTTGAGAGCGGAAAAAGACACGTTCGACATACTGCTTGGATTACTCT